TTCCTTCCTTCCTTCCTTCCTTCCTTCCTTCCTTCCTTCCTTCCTATCTTCCTTTCTCCTCATTTCACTTTCTCATCTTCCTTCCTTCCTCCCTCCCTTCTCATTTCACTTTCTCATCTTCCTTCCTTTCCTTCCTTCTCCTCATTTCACTTCCTTCCTTTCTCCTCATTTCACTTTCTCATCTTCCTTCCTTCCTTCCTTCCTTCCTTCCTTCCTTCCTTCCTTCCTTCCTTCCTTCTCATTTCACTTCCTTCCTTCTTTCCCTCCCTTCCCCCTTCCTTCTTACCCTCCCTTCCCCCTTCCTTCTTTCTTCTTCCTTCCCCTCTTTTCCCTTCCTTGCTCTCTTCCCATCTTCCCTTCTTTTTTCTTTGTCTTTCCTCTTTCCCTTTCTCCTTTGCTGTCCCTTTTTGCCATGCTCAAATGCAAAAGGGGAAATGTTTCTCCTTTGGTTTTGTTTTTAGGTTGTTTTGGTCACCCTCTGCCAGTGAAAACGAGGCACAGGGGTGTGTGCGCGGCCCACCCCTCCCCAGCTCCGTTTCCACTGGCAGAGGCACCATGGGCCGATCCTTCTGTCAGGGCTCCGACAATTCCGCCCACGTTCAAATCACAAGTCTCTAGCCGCATCTCTCAGAGTAAAAAAAGACCATTTATTAGGAGTGGCCATATCAGTGTTACATGGGTGCAGCCAACACTAAGATACATCATTTATTTCCCCCACCCCCTGGATGTATATTCTCTTCCTCATATATATGGACACATCCATAGCCGAGAGCCATCAATCATGCTCTCCAGTAATAATCTTGTGCGTCAACAGCTTCGGCTGCCAAGGCAATTATCTGAGGCATTTATGGAATGCACTGCTTTCCCCCACTCCCTTTCTGCTAGCAACTAAAAAGACCAAAGGAGTATTTTTTTTAGTTCGACACCTTCGCTGTTTCCAGGATGGCCCCACAGGCCAGATCTGGGTCACGGGCCTTTGAGTTTTGACACCCCTGTTCTAAATTAACCTGGTTTGCAGAAGGCCTATCCCGAGCGATGGAAACCTACCTCTCGCCCCTGCATAGGGGAGCGCCAAGGTCTGCTCTCGGGGCGACAGTCCTCGTGCAAGGTCCGGCCGCAGGTTGACCTGCATCTGCTGGGACGTGATGTAGTCGTTCAGGATGGTTTGCCGCGTGTTCTCCATGGCATAAAGCTGGTATTGGCTGGGGTAGCCCGGGGTGGGCGAGAGCTGCCGCTGGAACATGTAGGCGGTCGCTGGGCGAGGAAGAGCAGAAGACATTAAGTAGGTAAAGAGACAGAAAGCACTGTTTCTTTATATTACAGGTTATTCCTTGACTTACAGCCGTTGATTTAGTGAACGTTTGTAGCGACAACGGGGACGGAGAGAAGGGACTTATCAAACCAAGTCACATGTCATTGACAGGGGGATTTTTTCCCCCGGTCTTCCGACTCGAGCAGCTTTGGTGTCAACTTTGGAAGCCATACTGAGACCAGATGCTCCCACGCTGCCACATTTTGAGCCTGGGAAAGTGGGAGGGGGAAATGTCTTGGGATGTATGTAGTTAGACATCATGACGTTCTTTTTCTAATTCAAGGTTCCTTTTATTTTGGATAGTAAACTGCCACAACTGGGGAATCCCGAATCTGAAAGTTCCGGGTTTCCTTGCCGTAAGTAAAAACTACAAATCCATCCCCTGTGTGATGACCCAAAGGGGTGTGGCACAAAAGCAGCAAAGTCACAAAAGTAGGTAAAGTCCCTTTAATTCCTCCAACTTGGCCCCCAATGTCCAGTTATCATCGGCTGGAGAAAAAATAAAATCTCCCAAGAACAGTTTTTAAAGGGAAGAAATTCAGTCTGAACCCAAAATACATCTAAATTATAAATAAAAACCCAACACAAACCACGCTGCAGCCATTAATGAGACAGGGCAGGATGAGGAATTGCAGAATCAAAAAATAACGAAACACACACAGTTGGGAGGACGCCAGAACCCAGATAAGACTTGATAAACAAAGATAATGCAGGCTTTGCTTTCAGCAAGGTGCTGTGTGCAAACACCATTTTTAAATCCTGTTTTCCCAGCTGCAGCTAATGAAGGGAATCAGGGCCCTTTTCTCCCCCGTAACCCACGTTGCTCCCTTCTCCGTTCCGCCCTGCGTGCCCTAGGATGAAAGGGGGTGGGTGGGCCTGGGTCTTCCTCTGAATGCCCAGCTGGACTGTGTGCCCTTCCCCAGTTTCTTCCACAGCAACCGGAGCCACACCCCCACTCCCTGTCAGCTGCTCAACCTCCCCCTCAGAATCAGACTCCAACAGGGGCATGACATTCTGAACCCATCATGGCATCACATGCCCCAGTCACCATCCATCCCAACTTGAGACTTCCCCTCACTTATGCGCAAAATAACATGACCTTGAATTAGAAAAAGAATGTTGTTATGTCTAACTACATACACTCCAGGAAATCCCCCCCTCCCACTTTCCCAGGCTCAAAATGTGGCAGCTTGGGAGCATCTGGTCTCAATATGGCTTCCAAAGCTGACACGGGGGGCCTGGGGGGCGGGGGTTGGACTAGAAGACCTCCAAGGTCCCTTCCGACTCAAGTTATTCTGTACAGCTAATCCTCAACTTACAACAGTTTGCTGAGCAACCGTTCAAAGTTACAACGGCACTGAAAAAAGGGACTTGGGACCATTTTTCACACTTACGACCGTTGTGGCATCCCCACGGCCGAGGGATTTACGTTCGGATGCTTGGCAACCGACTCATATTTACGATGGTTTGCCATGTCCCGGACGCCACTCAACGGGGGAAACCAGATTCAATGAACAACCACGTTGCTTAACTCAACATCTGCGGAGATTCGCTTAACAACGGTGGCAAGAAAGATCGTTCAATGGGGGCGAGGCTTAATGACCATCTTGTTTAGCAATGGAAACCTGGGGCACAATTGCAGTCGTAAGTCAAGGACCCCCGACCGAAAAGCAAAAAACAAAAAACAAAAAAAAAATTGTACGTACTGGGATCCAAGGCTCTGTGGAACTGGATGGCTGGGTCCAGGTGAGGCGAGAGATGGCTCCGGTAAACTTCGGGGGCTGCCCCTCGGTGGTGGGGGTCGAAGGGGCTGTGAGTGACTCCGGGGTCAACCCCCGGGACCGGAGATTTGGCCGGGACGCTCTCCCTTTGCGTCGGCGTCAAAGTGGACTTCCTCTCGTGATTCAGCGGCTTCCCCGAAGAAAGGTTGCCTGCAAAAGAAGACCCGAGTTGTGGGAACGCAAGTGGCTCTGGCTGCTGGGAAAACTCAGGGGGACCGTGAGAATTATTTTATATTTTATGGCATTTGATTTTATCTTACCGTATGGTTTTATGTTTTATTTTGTTATTATCGCTACATTTTATTGCATGATTATTGTATTTGCTTATTTTGCCGATTTTGTCGTTTGATAAGACGTGTTTATCCCAAACATGTTTATTGATCTGATGGATTCACTACCTCCGTGATGGGCGAACCTACAGGTGGCACGCAGAGCCATTTGTGCCAGCACGCGAGCTGCAGGCAAACTTACCTCACTGCGCATGCGTGCGCCTTACAGCCGATTTTTGGCCAGTTTGAGGCCTTTTTCGGCCTCCCAGAGGCTTCTGCAGGCTTTGCAGGACGAAAACTAGGCCCGTTTCATCACTTCCTGTTTTTCTGGAAATACCGGAAGTGACAAAACGGGCCTAGTTTTTGGCCTACGGAAGCCTCCCTCAAGCCTCTGGGAGGCCGAAAAGGGCCTCAAACTGGCTGAAAATCAGCTGTGAGGTGCAGCGCAGGTAAGGGGGCGGCGGGGTGGGTGGGGATCGCCCGCGCATGCGTAGTGGGCGTGGGGGGGGGGGGGCGCACGCATTGCCTTCCGGGTGCTGGAATTTTTGGCACAGGAGCCCCAATAGGTGAGTCACCACTGTACTACCCTCCTCTGCAAGTTGGTTCCAAGCATCTTTCATTGAAATCAGACTTCCAAACATTACTTTTCAACTTCCCTCTTGTCAGTTTTGTTATGCCCAGTCTTCCTTCCTTCCCTCCCTCCCTTTTTCCTTTCCATTCCTTCGTCTTTCTTTTCTCTATCTCCCTTCCTTCCTTTTTTCCTTCCTTTCTTCCTTCTCTTTCCCCTTTCTCATTCTTCCTCCCTCCCTCTTTCTTTCCTTCTCCATTCCTCCTTTCCTTTCTCTCCCCATCCCTTCCTTTTCCTTCCTTTCTTCCTCCCTCCCTCTCATCTTTTCCTTCCTTCCTTCCCTCTATGTCCTTCCTCCTGCCCTCCCTCCATCTTTTCTCCTTTCCCTTCCTCTCTGTCCTCCCCCCTCCCTCCCTT